ATAAGCTCAACCTTGTAGAATGCTAGCTAAGAGAAAATGGTTTTCAAGCACTGGGTGAAGGACCTACAATCACAATGACTACTCTAGTCCAAGAATTTTTAGCCTTGGGTTATATACCAAAGTATTGGCAGTTAGGCTTTGTAAGATATTTATAAATTTATGGGTATTCCCAGAAATTCTATTTCAGATTTGGGGAAATTGGTCACATTCTGATCAGATTTTCAAAGTGATATTTTACCCCAAAATGTTTTAGGAACCACTGCTTTAAATTGCTCTAAAATCCAGTCCTCGATTAATATATACTGTTAGAATATGGAGAAATTGGATCATGGAATATTGGCTCTACTTACAATTGTTTTTTATAAATTGTATTTTAACAAGATGTCATTCATTTAAAAAATACATCAACACATAAACCTATATCATATTTATTTATATTTATATGTGTGTGTATGTGTTTCATATTATTTATTTCATCAAAACCTGGCTTTACGGGACTTGTTATTGTTTTTATTATAAGAATTTGCTGGTAGTTACTACATTATAAATGCCTCTGATTATCTACTGGAGAAACGCTTTTCTATTCTCTGTATTATGAATAACTATACTTTTTTTTCCTGAGTATCAGATTATTTATTTCTTTATTTTCGTGTTTGTTTTTAAGCTCCAGGATAGTTTACTATCATAACTTTGTTTGCATTGTTGTATTGATTACTGGAAAACTTAGGGATAAGTTTATCCTTAGCAAAGTAAAATGGGTAATATGACATTCATTTCTTAAAATTAACATGGCTGCATCTTTCTTTTGTACTCTTATTTACCTTTTGCTTCAATTTTCTTATTTTAAATTTATTTATGTCATTAAAGTATTTGAAAAAGGAATCAAAGAAGCAATTGCTTTTTCTTTAGACTTTTAAAATTATGTCATCTTTGGCGGGGAGTCAAACAAAAAAAATAATAAAATTATATCATCTTTATGATCTTTATTACCTATATTAATTGACTAAAAGAAATCTGTTAAGTGCTTCAGGAACCATTAGGAAGGGGGGGAAAAAAGGAAATCTGGGAGTGCTCTTATTAGTGCTCTTATTTTTTATTGGCCCTTGATTTACTGAGATGATTATCTACATGTCTAAAATCAAATTAATGAATAAAGAAAGAATATATTGAAAATGGAATGTGAGACTAAATGGTAGATGTGGTCTTAATATATGTAAAGAGTATGTAAGTACTAGCTTGGTTGAATGGCTTTACATTTGAGATAATTTTCTATTATATTGCCAATTTGGTTATGATTCAGAGACCTTGCCTTTTTCATTGTGATTAACTTTTACATAAAGCTTTTAATAGTAATAAAATAAATGATCTTCTGGTACTACCTACATTTAATATATTTAACTTAAGTATTTTTTGTAAATTATTTTTGAAAATTCCACTTTTGGAATCTTATGTTCTGAATAATCATGGGTTGTTTCATAGGTCACCAAGGTGGGTGGTATAGTGGGAGCAGCACATCCCAGGTCCAGGCAATAAGGGGATACTTCGTATGTAGAGAATTTTGAGATAGTAATAAAATCAATTAAAACATATCCCCTTTTTATTACCATGTAGTAGCACTTCTAAGAATTTCAGGGCTAAATGCCCACCAGGACTTACCATTCCTTCTCCCTGCCTTTGATAACCACTGAGCTATTAGAACATAAGTCTTATAGATGGAAAAACAGTCTGAAAATATCTATCAATGCTATAGTCAAAGTAGATGAGAATTGTTGTCTTGGTATGCTATGACCGTCTCTCAAGGAAGAAGAAAATTCTGCCCTTAACATGTAAGCCCCCAGTGATTTATACCCAATAGGTTATGTGGTAATTTAGTTATCGATGTTTACATTTTGCAATTCACAAACTTATCTACTGTATATGTCAGTAATTGCCACAATAATGCTGAATAAGAAATCATCAGAAGGCTCATACAAACCTAAACCTTTATTTCTTGCTCACATTCACATATGGAGTTGAGGTTCAATTGATAAAGGCTGAGCTAGTCTGGGTTTGGTTCCAAGCTGTTTCTTAGGTCCAGCTCTAGTCCATTTGTTACTCATCTTCCTTGGGCCAGTAGCTGTCCGAGGCATATTCTTCTCTTGCCAAAAGGTAGGAGAGCAAGAGGGCAAGCCCTGTTTCATACATTTTAAGCTTTTGCTCATGTCGTATTTGCTTACCCGCTGTTATTAAAATTCATCATGTGATGAAGCTCAGAGCCACAGGATATGCTCTATACCTATGACGAGGCCATGGCAAGGGTGTGGAGATACATATTACTACAGATGAGTGAGGAGTTGAGAACAATAATTCAACCTGTCATATATATCAGAATTCACATTGCTTAAAAACAGGATGTACTTTACTGGATGCTTTACTAAATAAGATCTATTTAAGGCTAAGGAGTACTTGAAATTTTTTCCAGACTAAAATTTTTTCAATCATACTTTCTGGCATGGAATTTCTGATTGTTTATCTCTGTATTGAGAATACACCCAAATTGCTGTCCAAGGAAAATCTTTTTATTATTATTTATTTATTTATTTTGCGGGGAAGGGAGGCAGAGGGTATCAGCATTATGGGGGACACTGCTTCTCCAGCCACCCCCCACCCAAGGAAAATCTTGACCCTATTGACAAGTACTTCCTTAGATTCCAACTGGAGTGGTTGTTTGAGACCAGTATCTTTGTTAAGCTCAGTTTTTATGAAAGAAAGTGAATCCTACCTTAGCTCAACAGATAATGACTCTGCATTTAACTTATAGCTAAAAATGTCTTTAATCCAGGTACTTGGCAGAAGGAATAATCTTGAATCCA